ATAAACTTTTGTAAAATAAAATAAATAAATATATATATATATATATGTATATATATATATAAATGACTAGAGTCAACCCCTGAAAATCATTTTAACTTTTCTGGGCTGGAACCAAGGCAATCTGTTTTAAATGTGACCAGGTAATTCTAATGTGAAGATAGCATATGTAAGAAGCAATGCCTCTAGGATAGACTCAGAATAGTTTAAAATGCCGGGCAGGCTATAGGCAGACACCAAGGAGAGAGAACTGAAAATCAAAATTATACAAAGCACAGATGATCCTATACTGGCTAAATGTGTCTCCAAATAAAAATAGTAACCATGAAAGAGTCGATTACTCCAACCTAGGGCATGGTTTGCTTTCAGTGGCTGTGGAAAAGGTTACCCAGGAGAAGGACAATAAGGCTGGTTGGAAAGAGTAGTGTCTTCATTAAAAATGAAATTTAAGGGCCCTCCCTGGTGGTGCAGTGGGTTAAAGCACAGCATTGAGAAGCTAAAGCCACTTCCGCATGAGTTCGATTCCCGCCTGCCCCGGAGGTGACCACATGGCGCGCCAGACCTCTCCTGGCCGGCCAGCTGCTCCCCTCAGCAGTGTACTTCATGGATCTGCCTGTTCTGCTCCCCGCTCTGTCTCTGTCTCTGGTGAATCCTCTCACCCTCCACATCTCTGGCCTGTACCCCAATTCTGTATGAATAAATAAATAAATCTTTAAAAAATGAAATTTAAGAAGAAAAGGCAGGGAGTAAGGAGATGGGAAAGAAGATTCTTTCTGGATATTATTTCATCACTACTCTATATGCTGCTGTTTTTTAGTTCTAGAGTAGAAGACTCATAGATTATCTACTCTGAACTTCTCACAGTTTAACATGCACACAAAATCACTTGCTGAGGAGTCTTGTTAAAATGCAGGCTCTGGGCCCTCCCTGGTGGCACAGCGGGTTAAAGCACAGCATCAAGAATCTAAAGCCGCTTCCGCATGAGTTCGATTCCCGCCTGCCCCGGAGGTGACCACATGGCGTGGCAGACCTCTCCTGACCCACCCGCTGCTCCCCTCAACAGTGTACTTCGTCGATCTGCCTGTTCTGTTCCCCCCTCTGTCTCTGGTGAAGCCTCTCACCGCCCCTGAGCCTCTGGCCTGTATCCCAGTTCTTTATGCACAAATAAATAAATCTTTAAAAAAAAAAAAAAATGCAAGCTCTGGGCCCTCCCTGCTGGCGCAGCGGGTTAAAGCTCTGCACTGAGAATCTAAAGCCATCTCCGCGTGAGTTCGATCCCCGCCTGCCCCGGAGGTGACCACATGGCTCGGCAGACCTCTCCTGACTGCCCACTGCTCCCCTCAGCAGTGTACTTCGTAGATCTGCCTGTTCTGCTCCCCACTCTGTTTCTGGTGAAGTCTCTCACCGCCCCTAAGCCTCTGGCCTGTACCCCAGTTCTGTATGTACAAATAAAATAAAATCTTAAAAAAAAAATGCAGGCTCTGATAGAGCTAAAGCAGCGTCTGGGACTCTGCATTTCTAACATGCTCATAAGTGATACCTAGATCTAGTTTATAGTCATGATCTTCAGTAACCTTTTCCTTTTACAGAATTTGAATGAAGCAATGAAATAAAAATTTTCATTAGCTGATAAATTGATAAGCACATTACAATTATCGAAACACTCAAAACATGTCATTATTCACTTTATCCTACTATACAAAATGATGATGTAATATTTCATAAGTAGATAGAGGAAATAATGAGAGGCAAATCATTACATGAAAAGTCTACCTCAAGGAGAATTAGGTTAAATAAAGTTAGCTGAAAGTAACTTGAAAAGATATTCATCAAATAAAAACTTACTATGAAACTAAAGTTTTCTATGAAAGAGGAATTAACACTAAAATTTTCAATATGGTAGCTCTGATATTGTGATCAAATAAACCCAGTGGATAGGGCTAATTAAGTCACCAAGGGCATCTGAGAAGCGATTAGTAGTCTTGGAAAAGTAATTTTTCAATTAATAAATAGGAAGCCTGGAGGCACAGATTGAGAGAAACAGAACTCCAGCAAGGCACTGATGAGTTGCATATTTCACTTTGAACATACCAAAATATTCTTTAATGGGGAAAAAAGCTAATAATGTTACTATTTTTAGACTCTTACCACTCCACTGCAAATCAGTTATTACAACAAAGAAAACTTTCTCAAAAGATGTAGTTCCTTTGAAATTGTTCAGGTGGCATACACCAAAATACACTCCCCTCAAACCACTGCAACAGCTTTCTCAAACGTCAATACACCTGCAACCAGGCTTCTCCAAACAAGTAACAATCAGACCCTTCAGTGGGCAGAAATTTAGCATGCAGTATATTCTAATTTCTGTGTAGCTACTGTTGGTAGAACTTGTTCTATCTGAGGACCCTAATAGATCAGTTTTCTTACATCTAAACTGAAACCCGTATCTCTCAAATATGCACAGTGAAACCTTATGGCGTGCATTGCTATGTCAGCCAAACTGCTCCATAACAAGGACTCTGATTTCAGTAGTCTGGGAAGGGTCTTGGAAAGTTAAGAAACAAGCAAGTAAACCCTCCCCTCTCCCCCAGATGATCCTAATGTTCATTCTGGGTAGCAATAAATGTTCTGTGGGTTTGCAACAGTGCTTCTCAAATTCTATTGTATCACCATTGATATTATAAAATTAAAGTTTAAATTCTGATTCAGGAGGTTTGGGTTGGGGCCATAGGCCATGCAAGTCTAATGAGTCCCCAGGGATTGGAGAACACTCTAAGCAGCAAACAATCAAATGAGTCACAAGGGCCAAACATTTGAAGCAAAGAGGGCTGGGTGGGTGTCTTGCCCTCCAGAAAAATATAAGACTACCTGCCCCTTTCTTTAAAAAGCTGCTTATTTGTAAGAAAAAAAAAAGTCAGAAATCCAGACTTTTAAAGGAAATTTCCTGATTAAAGGTTAAATACCACATAAGCCAACCAACTCCAGTCACTGGTACTATCATTTTACATATATTTTTTTCCCCAGTGGATCTTCGTTAACTACCCCTTAGGATAAAACTAAAGTGATTTTATTTTATAGATAAGGAAAAAAGGTACAAAGGAAAGGAAGATTAAGTATGGAGCCTGAGATCACACTTAACAGCAGAGAAGGATTTAAACTAGGTTGTACTTCATCACCCAGAGTCCATGGTCCTCACTAGTAGGCCAGATCTTGCTAGTGGACATATGGACCAGCCAGCCATCTGCTCCTCAAGCTTCTAACCTGGGATCGTACTACTTGCTTGGAACTTTTTTTTTTTTTTCTATTTTGGTCCTTTGCTTAATTAATTTGCTCTTTGATTTTATTTTCGATTTAGAGTGACCAACCATCCCAATTTGGAAGGGACTGAGTTTCCTGGGAAGATGGACATTCAGTGGTTAACACGAGGACACTCCCCAACACATTCAGTCACCCACCCTAATTTTCACCTAAAGATATCATTTTAAAAATAAACTTATTTTGTTGTATTAAGAACACTGTTCACAAAATGAGTCCTATGGGAAATTTCACTGTTTTCCTTCAAGAATTAGTATAGTTCAGTCTCCTTTCTATATTTTATGACTGACTTTGTGCCCCTTCTGTCCTATCCTACTTTCCTTTTTTGATATTCAGTTTCCTCTTATTACACTAATTTCTGTTGGTAAGTTGGCTCAAATGTTTAGTGGCGAAAAGTATGATGTACATGTATCAATGCATTTTTTTTAAGATTTATTTATTCATTTATACAGAACTGGGTGTACAGGCCAGAGACGCAGAGGGTGAGAGGATTCACCAGGGACAGAGTGGGGCGCAGAACAGGCAGATCAGCGAAGTACACTGCTGAGGGGAGCGGCGGGCGGGTCAGGAGAGGTCTGCCGTGCCATGTGGGTCACCTCCCGGGCAGGTGGGGATCGAACTCATGCAGAAGTGGCTTAAGCTTCTTAGTGCAGTGCTTTAACCCACTGCACCACCAGGGTGGGCCACATTTTTGTTTCTATTATCTAGAAAGTAATAATTTTATTTTATTAAAATAATTTGATTAAATTGTAGATGTAGAGCATACATGAAGTGTTTTGTTTCTGCAGTGTATTCATTAGAGTCTGCCAGGTTAAATGGCAGCAAAGGATACTTAAGGAAACAGGTGCAGAGGAAAAGAAGATTAAATACTGAGCCTAAGCTCACTCTTTTCACACTTCCATGTGCAGGAACCTACAATGGGAAAACATTCCAATCTCACTCCAACCACCTCCATTCTCCCCAGGGGAACAAGTCAGTTACCCTACTATTGCATTTGGAGAAGAAATGGCATGCACAGCTCAGTGCTTTCCTCAAGGGGAGTCAGTACCCCTCTCCTTCCCCATCATACCCTGTCACCAAAGGGCACTTCTATATTCCCCCACATTACTGATTCTACCTAAGCAGATCTCCACAGACAAGGCTTGAGGTTTCCATCTCTGCCAGTAACTAAATGGGTATAAGTTTACTTGGGGCACTCATCATTAGGAAGCTTGTTTGATTTCCTGCCCCATATTTCTAATATAGATTTAACAATTAAATATTTGGTGTCAAACACTGCCCATAAGGTGTGTATCCTGTACCATCATACCACTGGAAATTGCAACACAGAATCATGACAAAATAAACTGAGGATATACGAGAAACTAGGACAGGAAGTTGGCATACAGAAACGGAAGTAACCACAATGATATATAGCATTTTTCAAATTCATTTCTTGGAATAAATTTCCATCACTGACATTTGGAAGTTGAAATACTTAGATGTTACTTAAATGTAAGTACTTAAATGTTCAGATCATTTTCTTCTTTAAACTAATTCCTCTTTTCCTCTGAAATCAACAAATTTGTTTTCCAGATACCTCCCAAGAGCATCTATCACTACAAGAGCATGTTTTATAAAAATAATAATCTTGGGCCCTCCCTGGTAGCACAGAGGGTTAAAGCACAGCATTAAGAAGTTAAAGCCACTTCAGCGTGCGTTCAGTCCCCACCCCGGAGGTGGTCCACATGGTGTGGCAGACCTCTCTGATCCGCCCACTGCTCCCCTCAGCAGTGTACTTCATCTGCCTGTTCTGCTCCCCACTCTGTCTCTGGTGAATCTTCTTACTGCCCCTGCACCTCTGGCCTGTACCTCAGTTACATATGCATAAATAAATAAATTTTTTAAAAAAAAAAAAAGATAATAATAATCTCAACCTTGATCTCATACACCATGTATAAACAGCCATTTTTATATTGTATTCTTCTAATGACACCATATATGACTCACAAACATATCTTCACATCTTATTATCCTTTAAACTGCAATAATACCTTTATACTGAGAAACTCAGTAAAAACTATTCACCAAAAACATTCTCCAAACCTCACCTGTTTCTGGTATCTCTGGAGAAATGAGTTTCAGATGTTGGTCTTCAGATGAGAGGCTCACACTGATGTCATACAGTGGATCATCCAAGAAAGAAGGCCTTTTCAGTCGCCCAATGCCAAGAGTCTTGGACATAAAATAGTCTTTTGTGTCACCAAAAACCTCATCTTTGGAAAACTGCACATTCTCTGCTTCTGTGACAAAAGCTTGCGACACATAATGCCCGCTCAGGGCTTTGCTGAGATAGTAGCCTCTAGATGTTTCACATTCTGTATTCCCAGGTATATTTGCATCTTCTACCTCAGTGCCTCTGACCTCTGTTTCTGACCCATTTAATAACTCAGAGACAATGGATGTGGAAAGCTGGGGGAACACAGATGTAATATCTTCACTCTCTTTCTTTCCCCTTTCTGAAGGAAGTTTAATCATGGGTTTTTGTTTCAATGTGCATTCATCCAGGAGATACCTTAACTGTTCCTCAGACAGAAGTGATGTTGGATCTAACTGATAAAACAAAAGTTTCATAGTCAATTGATTAAGTAAACACATCTATTTTTGGTGAGCTTCCAGTGATACAATATAAAGACAAACACCAGGAAACCCCTATACAAAACACCCAAGTAACAAGATTATTCACTATAAAGTACCCAAAATCACGAGGAAAGTACATAACATCCCTAGATAATAAGTACAATCAATCACACACACTAAAATCCAAGCAAATGTCTTGACAGGAATGAAATGCTGCATGCAATAAACCATAAACACTTTCCCTACATGTACAAGTAACTTGAGCTAAAAAAGAGATATTAGAAAAGCACCTTAGATTTTATATGTCTTGTGACATTAAGCAGGAAGTAAGCAACCATATCTTTGATAAATAGCCAAGAATCCTGCCGTAATCCCCAGTGGGTGTTTCCCTATCCCCTCCATTCCTTGTTGGGAACCCATCACCACCCAATTCTTTAACTGGAAAATAAAAACAAAAACTCAGGCAAATAGGGCATATTATGTCTGCCCTTGGGGATTTACCATTTCTATGTCTATCTACAACTGACAGCAGACAATACCTCTGAAGACAGAAAAGGAAGGGTGAAGTGGTAGTGCATCCTGAGATGCATAGTTGCTTCACAGCTACAGGTCTAGGCAGAGGCCAGGGGCATTCCAAGAGCAGTGTATTTTGGGAGAAGGATGTGATCATACATATTTCATATTTGCTTATAAAGGTTATAGGGACTGGGTACTTCAACCAAGAACCTAAGGATTTCAAAATACTGCTTTTTTTTGCAGTAATGTTCTCAGGAAATAAAATAAATGAACAGAGAGATATTCTAAAATAATTCAACTTAATGGCATGACTCTTGAGTTACAATGATCTCAAAAAGGAATGAAGTGAAAATACATTGAAACATACTTTATTAGAAAAGTCTCCTTCTCTAAAGAATCACTGCCTTTCCAGATTTATATAGTCCAAGTATATACTGTCCAAGAAAACACTAGCTCCTGTAGAGGGGAGTGAACTATCTGAGAACTCCCCAATGAGGAAATCAAATCAGGAATTGCCATGTGTTTAATTTCTAATTTTGTAAAATAAAACAATGCTATTGGCCTTATCTGAAAACACACAATGAGAAATTAACCAAATAGTCTGCATATAGAAGGCATTGAAATGGGGAGAGGAGATTTGTTATCGGAATTAGTTTAATTAACTCCCCACTGCTGTACAGTACCCCTAGTGTAGCTAATAAAGCAAATTTTGTATCATGCTTTTAAAATACATCATGTGCCTATAAATTATATTCAATGTCTTATTAAAAACTAGTTTCATAGTGACACTATGACTTCGAAAGTAAAAAGAAATTCTCTGGCAATATATTCCTAATAATTTTCTGGGCTTCAAAATTCAGGTGCTTCACCCTACAGTTAATATACATGTCAAGAAATATGTTGAAATGTATATTAACAAATGCTACTTTTAATCACTAGACATGCATTTAAACATTCAGGTTTCCAGATGTAGCATTTTATCCCTTATCAGGGTTAAGGTTAATTCCCTTAACCCTACTATGTAAACCGAGTCAACTGGAAATGAAAGCAATCTTTACATGGTACTAAGTATTTAAAATATATTTTTTGATATAGGGTAATATTCCTATTATATAGGAATATATAAAATACTTATTATAAGTAGATAACTCTCTAAGATTTGGAAAGAATTCACTAAGTGTCAACACCAAACATCTTCACCAAAGACTTAAATGAAGTTTTCAGACACTAGAAAAAAAGTCCATGCTGGAAAGAATGATGAAAGACTATAAAAGGTGCTCTCTGGGGGAAAAGGAGGGGTAAGTAGAAAACTGGTAGATTATCTAATATATATATGGTCACGTCCAAAAATAATATTGATAGATGTTTTTCAACTCTGATGATGCATATTTTGTTAGATACATAGAAAGTTAAATAAAAAAGAAAAATAAAAGTGTTTATGAACTGTGGGAAAGTAAAAAGTTACATGAAAAGACAATAAAGGTATTGTTTCAGATAATTAACAGAAAATTTAGCAAAATACTCTAGGACCTAAGAGTTATGCAAGAATGGAATACTACTTGCTTCTGCTGTGAACATAAAAGTTGACTAAAAATAAATATAACTTAAATGTACTCAAATTTCTAATATTTTTTTTTTTAAATCTGAAATGCAGAACACGGGCAAGATAGCAGCAGAATAAAGACTCCGAGAACACTGTGTCCAGGCTTGCACAGGAATTTAGGACTAAAAATGGGCTACAGACTTACAATCTATGAGTTTCAACCAAATGAGAACACCCTGGACTTACTAGAAGGAAGACAACTAAGGAGAATCGGCGATTGGGGAGTTCTGATAAGGGAACTCCTATCCGGAAGCACCCAGGTGCCCTACTAGGAAGTGCCACAGGGAGGATAAGCAGACTCCTACAACTGTGATGGAGGGGAAGGAGGGCGCACCAAGGCTCTAGTACCGCAGACAGAAGCTTCCTGCTCATTTGACTCAGTGAGTGGAATACAAGCTGTGGGAAAACCTGTGCAAGTGGGCACATAGATACCAGGAGGTAGGGAGTTTGAAAATCTGGTGATCTGGTGCCTGGAGCAGCTGCAAGGTGTACAACTCTTTCACCCACCCCCACAGCACAGGCCTGGAGGCTTGTTCTTGGCATTGGTCACTAAGGTGGGGCCAGGAGTTCACAAAGCCCCTGAGATAAAAGGGGGAGAAAAACAGTTAGGCTGAAGCAAAAATAGGTCCATAGCAGTCCCCCAAGTGGTAGGGAAAGACTGCTCAGGGAAAACTGCTCTGAGTGGGCACAAAGAGCCCTGGAGGCCTTGAGGGAGAACTGGCGGTCTACACAACTGGGGGGGGGGCATGCAGAATTAGGACTCAAGGTGTTACTGGACAGCAGTGGCTGGAAGATTTGTGAGCCAGTAAGGCACTACCTTGCAAGGCTCAAGTGCTCAGAAAATAAAACCAGTGACTGGCTCAACCACAGGCCCAGCTGCAACACTTCTAATGCACCCCACCCCCCACGGCTGCATCCAAGCATAGAGGGAACTCGGGACATCAGAAGGCTACAAATATCAACAGGCACCATCCAGAGACAAGGACTCAATGAGTTACCAGAAGAAGCTGAACACCACAAGAGACCCCTGAGTGTCACTGGCAGAGATGACAGACATAATTCCACACAGTGGGGGTTGGAAAAACAGGAGTTATTGAAACAAAATAAAGCTCAGAATACCCTCCACAACTGAAGTATCTGGAAGTCCCTCTGCCATCCCAGAAAGAACATCCAGAAAGAATGCAGGGCAATAATAGCAACACTGTGTCTCAATGAATAGAAAGTATTAGAAAATACATGACAGGGAAAAGAAGACAAACAAATATTCAAGCAAGTCCACAGGGGGAAAATTCACCACAAAAATTATCAGTCAGCAGTAACCACCAAAGAAATAGGAGAAATGCTCAGCCTACCAGATAGAGAATTCAGAATCATCATGATAAACAAACAAAAAGAAGATGAGAAGGAAAAAAATGAAATGAGGTAAACCATCAAGGAGTTGAGGAATGCAAACAAAGAGATGAATGAAAGAAGTGAAAAAGAAAAAAAAAAACAATATGAGACAAGCAATCAAAGAACTGAAGAAAGAAAATGAGACATTAAAAAGAAATAGAAGAAATGCAGAAGATGAAAAGGCCACTAGAGGAGATAAAGAAAGCTGGGAAAGTAATGAAAACAGAATAGATGAAATGGAAGAACGAATCAGCACCCTCAAAGACACAGAAACAAAGAGAATTAAAACTGAAAAAGAAAGAGAAATAAAAAGGAAAAGGAATGAAGAAACACTTCAAGAGCTATCTGACACTGTTAGGAAAGGAAGCATCAGAGTTATAGGTATCCCAGAAGGTGAAAAGAAAGGCCAAGGAATCGAAAAATATTCAGAGATAATAGAAGTTCCCTAATATGAAGAAGGAGATGAAAGTAGATATCCAAGAAACAAGAAGAACACCAAACTACCATGATGACAGGAGAAATATAGCAAGACACATAATAGTAAAACTACCAAGAATACAAGACAAGGAAAGGATGAGAATGACAAGAGGGAAAAAAACAAATAATCTATAAAGGGAAAATGCAGGCTGACATCAGACTTCTCCGAAGAAACACTACGCACAAGAAGAGAGTGGAGGGACATACTCAACAAACTCCAAAGCATTAAATGCCAACCAAGGATACTCTATCCTGCAAAGCTCTCCTTCCTCTATGAAGAAAGAATAAGAACATTTTCAGACAAACAGAAACTCCACAATTTTGTCATGACTAAACCTCCACTCCAAAAACTACTACAAGAATCTCTCAAACCAAATCCAAGAGAAGAATGAACAAGAACAGTTCAAAACAAGGAATAAGAAGACAAAAGGACCAAATGGCAAATGTAGGTGCCAGTATATCAATATTATCTCTAAATGCAAATGTATTAAATTCATCAATAAAAGACACAGAGTTGCAGGATGGATTAAAAAACAGAATCCAACATTCTGCTGTCTGCAGGAAACACATCTAACTGCAAAAGATAAAAACAGATTAAAAATAAAAGGATGGAAAACAGTTCTACAAGCAAATGGACCAAAAAAGAAGGCAAGAACAGCTATACTTATATAAGATCAAATAGACTTCAAACTGAAAAAGGTTAAAAGAGACACAGAAGGCCACATTATGATTAAGGGGACAATACAACAAGAAGACATAACAATCGTCAACATATATGCACTAAATGAAGGAGCACCAAAATATATAAGGAAACTACTGTCATCTATAAAAATGTATATAAGAGAAAATACATACATAGTAGGAGACTTCAACACGCCACTCTCCACAATGAACAGATCAACAAGACAAAAAATAAGCAAAGATGGACGCTCCCTGGTGGCGCAATGGGTTAAAGCACAGCACTGAGAAGCTCAAGCACTTCCAC